GAGAGATTTCTCCACCAAACTTGGCATATATTTAGATCACATGGTGTAGATGTGCCTTTTAATAGTTTGCTCATTCGGAAATTTTTAATTTTTTTGTTTCCATGGTAACAAGTTGAACTTAGTGCATAATGAGGTTGGGAACCTTGTCCGGACCACAAATCAGAAACTATGAGAGATTTTTCAACCAAACTTGGTCTAGTGTTAGACCACATGGTGTAGATGTGCCTTTTGATATTTTGTTTGTTCAGAAATTTTTATTTTTTCCGATTTCCATGGTAACCTTTTCAACTTAGAGCGTATTGAGAGTGTGGACCTTGTCCGAACCAAAACTCCAAAACACATTTCTCAACCAAACTAGGCATATTGTTATATTACATGGTATAGATGTGCCTTTTCATAGTTCTCTCTTCAAAATGTGCAACCAAATATATACAATGGCGGGGAACATCATAGTGCTTCACAAGCACAGATTCTAGTTTTTAACTGATTTAAACTCAACTGGTTGTTGACTAGCTGAGTCATTAAGATGGTGTGAGCTTTGTCATCCATAAAGATTGTCTGTCGTTGTCTCTTGTCTGTTGTCGTCTGTTGCCTGTTGCCATAAACTATTAGACCTGTGGCCTCTAGCAGTCATAAAAACTGCTCAAATTTGACAAAACTTGGTATTGATGTTCCATCTTTAGCACATAAACTCCTTTGGGATGGCATTTCAATCCTGCTCCTCCAAAAGTGGGTTTGGCAAGGAGGTCATATTGGAAAAACTGAAGTTGTCCATATTAGACCTTTCCAATGAAGATAAAAAGCTGAAACTTAGTATGTGAGTGGTATACAGCCTCTCAGCATAAATGACACGTTTTCAATATTCTCTGAAAAAATGTCCACATTGTGTCCCTAGACATTCCTTCGCCCATACACACCTATTTAAATGACCTGCAACCTGTAGCAGTTGGAAATATTGATCAAATTTGATGACACTTTGCATGCAATGTCTTTTGGACATAAACTAGTTTTGCATGTAATTTCCACCTTGCTTCCCACTCCTGAATGGGCGAGGCAGGGTGGCAGACCAGTGGAGTTTCAAGTTCATTCAAACCTCTAGTTTTACTTAATGCCCGTAGATTTTCATTTGGATGGCCATGGACTCCTACACTACCTGACAAAAGTATTAGGACATTCCTCATCCTCCCTCAACTTTTGATGTACGTGTTATATTATATATGCGAGTGTTGTAGGAATTTAATGGTGTCCTAAAATGTACACGTAAACATCACAGAACATTATTGAACATTTGGGGAAGCAACAGATATACATATTGGCATATTTTTCCTCTGTACGAAAAACTCTCAATTTTGGTCTGTCATAAGTAAGAGATATTATCATAAATTGTGCTTGCAAGATGGTAATTTTCAAATGTACATGTTTGGAATTGTGTTCTTGTCAATCATCAATGGCTACTATCGGTCCAGTCATTATGATCAGGTGTGGCACATGGGGTGATTTTGATTCTCTATAAAAGGAGGGTCAAGACATACAATAATTCAGTATGGTGTATCCAAAATTGTGTCTGTATTTTTATTTGAATAAACAACTATTTCCAAACACGATACATTCAGTATTTTCTACATCACTGTAAGAAAATCACACACATAAATAGTGACGTCCTAATACTTTTGTCAGGTAATGTATGTTGCCAGGTTGCTGTTGTTCATACATTTCCTGAGCAGGGCTGTATATCTCCCTCGCTGAATGATGTCACCAGTTAGCTGGGAATGGTCAAGATGTCGCTGTGCATCTTCCAATCCCGTCTTCCTTATGCCTGCAGATCACGGTGATGCCTGCAGGGAGCGAAACTGCACTCTTCAAGCAGTTCTTCTCCGACTGGAAGGACAAGGACCAGACCATCGGCCCTGGCCAGGTCGCCAGTTTCGGCCGCATCGCAAAGGTGGAGCAGATCCCTTTCGATGCCTCCAGTCTTCACAGCAATAAGGCCATGGCTGCCCAGCATGCTATGGTGGATGATGGAACAGGCAAAGTCCAGGTGAGAAGGCTGACTTCCTGTTTCATGCTGGTTTGGAGATGGTCAAGCTGGCAATGAAAGGTGTAAAGTCCTGGGAGGCAGAAGGTAAAAGAGGTAAAAAAAAAATTTCCTCCGCACCACCAACTCAGCCAGCTGACTTCAGTAATTAATTCTACATCCTGTGGAAAATCCAATTAACAGTTGCAAAACACTGGAGATTACTTTCAGTCCTGAACATGGATTTTACATCTCTGGAGATGAGTGTCATTGTCGCTGACACAAAATTCTCACATTCTCACGATGTAGTGGCAATGCTATAAAGTAACTGGAAAAAAAAAAAAAAAACCTTCCAGTAACATTGTGAGAACATTGTGTGTTAACCCTTAGAGGGCCGAAATAAATTTTCAAAAAATTATAAATCAAAATATCTTGTGCTGTTGAAAACCTATCATGTGGCGACTTGTTTAAAAGAGCTCCCCTGCGGGAGCTCTTTTAAACAAGTCGCCACGTGATAGGTTTTCAACAGCTTTGAATTTGATATTTCACATCATTGAGCAACGCTATTTGTATTTGGCGCTCTAAAGGTTAACTGCTGCGGAGATGAGTAGCCGACGAGTAGCACATTTTAATGGTTTAGAGGGCCTTAACTTAAACCACCTCCTAACGCATCATTGTGGAATTCTTGTTCTTTGGCTAGATCTGGCGTGTGGAAAAAGGAGACAAGGTCCCCGTGGACCCTCAGACCTACGGACAATTCTACGGGGGGGACTGTTACCTCATTCTGTACTCCTACAATGAGGGTGGGAGGGAGAAACACCTCATCTACACTTGGTAAGTTTGCTCAGTGCGGCCACAGGTGGGCGCCATAAACAAAAAGCTTTTTTGTGTTAACTGGGATTCATTGTCACACGAGATGCCAAGAAGCGGTACATGCTGCCCGCCCTTGACCAAGATGAAAACGGGCAGCGACCTTGTGCATAGCCTTGTTTTCATAACGCAAAACCCAAATGTTCCCGGGCAATTTACAGTTCTCAATGTAGATTTTCGATAGATAGATAGATAGATAGATAGATAGATAGATAGACAGCCAGATGGACTAAAGGAAGCCCGAGAAATAAAGAATGCATTTCCTGTTTTACGTTATGAGAGGTGGTCAGATCGGCTACCATAGGCCAAGTCATATGCGAAGAATTTTTTTTTTTTTTTTTTTTTTAAATCAGGCATCGTCCTGATTACAACCCGCTGAAAGTTAATATTTTTTTTTTTTTTATCATGGCTAATTTCCGCTGATGCATTTGCTTATTTTTCATTTTCAAATTATTGCAATCTTTTTACAAACCTGCATTTTTTCTGGTAGAGTGGCACTAAGAATTTCCGCAAACGCGCACTTTTTATGCAAGGCAGATGAAGCTTGATCTTAGCCATTGTGCTGTTACCTGGCATAGAAGTATGGTATCGAGTCTGAACACCAGGGGGCGCTGTTGTGCTTTACTGTTCTGCGTTGAACAGTGGTATGAAGGCATGCTCTTAATCCTGTGTTTTAGGCAGGGGCTAAAATGTACCCAGGATGAGCTGGCCGGCTCTGCGTTCCTGACCGTGAAACTGGACGATTCCATGGGCGGGTGTCCAGTCCAGGTCAGTTATCTCGAGTTTTCCATCTTCAGCAGATGACTACACTAATTCCCGTACTTTAGCCTGTTTGTGGATTGCTGGGATCGAGAGCAGCACTAAATATGGGCAGTACAATTTTCAGTTATGGTCACTCAGCTGCAGCTTTTATACAAACCAATTTCCAGTTGATAAAGCTGGGGTCAGTCTCTCCTGGAGCGGTGCTGGGTTGAGGGCCTTGCTCAATGGTCCAAGATAAGCGGCACTGATCTTCCTTTGCTTTCACTGGGGCTTAACCCTTTGAGTGCCATAGGCAACTATAGTTGCCCAATGGTGTAAGATATTAAAACCATATGCTGTTGAAAACCTATCGTGTGGCAACTTGTTTAAAAGAGCTCCCGCAGGGGAGCTCTTTTAAACAAGTTGCCACGCGATAGGTTTTCAACAGCTCAGGATAATTACATTTTTAATTCCTCGAAAATTTATTCAGCGCTCAAGGGGTTAAATCTCAAAACCTCTGAGTCGCCGTCAGATTTGCTGGCCTTTGTCTTGCCGGCCGTTTCAAAGCGCTACAGCATGCCCCATGGCCTTGCCTTGAATTGTCGCATTCATGCACGTTTATTTACTGAAATATGCTGCCGCATTGATTCATTCTAGCCTGGCTCCTCAAGTTTGCTCAGTGACAAAGAAAGGGTAGCATTTGTTTTAAAGCAGCACTGTGGAGACAAACTAGATGCAAAAAATTAGAAAAAAAAAAACTGGGAACTTTTAAACCTCATGGGTTTGTGATTCTGTGTAGGTGAAAATGGTTGTACTGGTAATGAAGCTAGGACAGTAAATTCTTTATAGTGTGAGATGATGAAGACTGAATTAGGGTACAAACGCGATAGTGCCCCAGTTTTAGTGCCCGGTGTACAGCTTTACCCGCAGAGGCTCTCATCAGGAAGCTAACAGAGTTAACAGGATAGCTGTACTGTGTCAGAGGCACAGAGCAGCTGTTTCTGCTGCAGTCCTGGCGACTTATACTGGTTGCAGGGTTTAGTCAGTTCTCATGTCAATTATCTCATATGATATGTCCTTGCTCCTCGTTCCGTGCTTGATCTGGAAGTTGCACCATATCTGCCATCTTGCTGGCCGCCTTGGTGCTCTTATTTCTGCTGTGAGGACCAAGGGAGGAGCTCCAAGGAGCCATGAGCGAGGACACATGAGAGCAGCCTTCCAAAAGCACTTTCAGCTGAAAGTAATGATGTCGCTCAGTAATGACAGAGGCTGGCAGCAAATCCAACCACGTGCCTACATCAGAAACAGACGTCGCTTCACGTGACCCTTTCTGAGGAAACGACGTCTCATTCCTTTAAAAGCATATTGCTGGGGCGCCCCGGTGGCTCATCGGTCTGAGCGCTGTACCATAAAAAGGCTGTGTCCTTCTCGCAGTGACCTGGGTTCGATTCCGGCTCGGGTCATTTGCTGCATGTCTTCCCCCATTCTTCTCCCCAACCTTCCTGTCTCTCTACACTGTATAACTATCAAATAAAGGAAAATTCCCAAAAAAAAATAATTTAAAAAAAAAAGCATATTGCCTTGTTTCCTCTCTCCTCGCGTGGCCTCCCTGTATCTCCCCATTCATCTCCAGTTAGTTAGAGGGAATAATAAGCAAGGAAAAGACGCGAGAGAGGGAAATGTGGATGCAAGTAAACAGAATTGAGATGCACCCCTTAATGGTTTCCTTTGATCGCTAATAAGTTTTTGCTAATAGATGTGCAAACCTGGTGGTTAAGTCACACTACCGAGCAATGTCACCCCCTGCAGGTCCGAGTGACCCAAGGCCAGGAGCCGGCCCACCTGATGAGCATTTTCAAGAACAAGCCCATGATTATCTACAGCGGCGGGACGTGCCGAGAGGGGGGCCAGTCTCAGGCGGGGTCTAAGCGGCTCTTCCAAATTCGGGAGAGCACCAGCCACCATACTCGCGCTGTAGAGGTGAACCCCAGCCCACTCTCTGATGTGGGGTGACAGGATCCCACAATAGAGGGATGATGAAATGCACTGGTCCGAAGACCTCTCCTTGGGGCACACCGACCATATCCAGTCATTTAAGCACACCTGATAGAACTATTGAAGCCCATGTTCATTCAGCTGTGTTTGGTGTGCGTTGGGTGAAACACAGTGAATACCAGGGTCAGGTTGCAGTGCCTTGAGGATGGGTTTGGGAACCACTGATCTAGGCAGCCAATATCACTCACAGTGTATAAGTTCATGCTGTGTATTGAGATTTCATGGTAACTTACTGCAACTGATATAAAACATAAGACAAAAGTAATAAAAAATGCTAACATTTAAGGGGGTACATATACTAAAACACTAACTTTTAAATATGCTATTTTACAAAAGTGTTATTGTTATATTTGGATAAGTCATGGCCTCAGCATTCTAAATACACTGTGTTTTTGTCATTCCATAGCCCGTTGCCATGGCAATGGCAACCACATTGGATTTTTACTAATCGTCATTTGTAAAGGATTTCTCCTCAACATTGCAAATTTTTCAAACATGTTTTTTGAAAAATTATCACAGATAATCACTCTGTGACATTACAAACCATTTTTTTCCAAAAAAGAATTATGGCCAGGGGGTAAAATGTGACAGTCATACAGGATTCTGTAAATGCTCCCTAATTAGTTATGCATAACCTATTTATCTCATGCCCCCCTAGTACATCTAAAAATCTAAGGATGTTAAATCATTGCCTTCATCATTACCTACAACCTCTGAGAATTTCATAGAAATACCTGCCATGGCTGTGGACAAATGTTAGTCACAGGTTTCAGAACCAGATTTAAAAGATGAACATATGCCATCAAAAACATCTTTTATTTGTGATTATGCTTATCAGATGCAATTTAATCAAGTTTGTAGTGATTCTATATGTATTAAAGATTATTTTAGAGGAAAACACAAAATCATCCGGAAAATGAATTTTTCATTAAATTTTAGTACGTGTACCCCCTTAATGACTAGAAAATTTTGAACGTAAAAGCAAGTGGCCTATTTTAGAGCAGGGTTTGTCATAGGAAACAATAAAAGAAGTACACTTTTTACTAATAAAAAAAACTAAAACTTTAGCTTGAAAAACAGCTGAAGACTGTTCAATTTTTTTACATTTCTTTTCTACAAATTAAAAATAACTAAAATTTTAACCTGAAAAAAGCTGATGTCTGTTCAATTTCTTTAATGAAGCCTGTGATGCTGTCTCAGCGTCTGCATGACTAAACTTTTCCTGTGACTGAAACTTAAGTAAATGGAAAAAATACTTCCTCAAATTGGAATTTGTTTGGTAAAAGACTGAATAGTCTGCGGCTCGTTTCCAATCGGTTGTGTTTCATAAGTTTTGGATGTTGGATTTGGCAAATTCATATTTCTTCAATCCTGCTGGCTTCACTTCCTGTCCGGCTTCACTTCCTGTCCTTACTTTTTGTTCTTGTCCCCTCGATGGGTGTCGCAAAGAGCAAAAAAAAAAAAAGTTAAGAATGAAAGTAAGGAAGGGAGAGAAGGAAGGAAAGATGTTAGAAAAACAAAGAAGAAAGGAAGAAAGAAGCTATTGGAATGAGCTCCAGGTGGTGGAAGAGTTATGGCGGCTGAAGGAGTTTTGCCTGGGTTATGTTTTCATTTGGAAAAGGGCCAATCATAACCCATCATACTCCATGCCCCTCCCCTTTCAGGTGGACCCAGAGGCTAAAAATCTGAATACCAATGACGTGTTTTTGCTGAAGACTCCCAAAGACCTATTCTTGTGGAGAGGTGAGGGTGCCAGTGACGTGGAAATGGACTTTGCCAAACGTGTGGCCGAAGTCCTGGGAGGACGTCCCACCGAGGTCAGGGAGGGCCAGGAACCAGGTACACCTTTGTAATGTTCACCTGCCCACACCAGGTACACCTTTGCAATGTTCACCTCTTTTTTTTTTTCAAACATATTTTTATTCAACTTTTTTTTGCAAAGCATGTGCAGAAGGGGACAATACAAAGGATAGCAAAAGTAATACTGCAAAATATAGGCATTTAAACCTGACAAAGATACATAAAATAAAATAGATAAATGAATTAAATAAATAAATAATATTAATTAAATTAAATTTAAAAAAAAAAAAGAAAGAAAAAAAAAACCAAGCACGAGAGTTCAGGAAGTCTGATCCCTTTCCCAGGCCAGATCTATAAGCCCTGACCTCATCCTACAAGGTACAGTGGTACCCAGGTAGTTGAGAAATGGATCCCAGGTCCGGTAGAATAAAAAGGGTTTATCCTTCAATGCTGCAGAGTAAGCTTCAAATGGAATAATACTGGTCACAATTTGTTTCCACTGATTGAGAGTGGGAGCTTTATCAGTGATCCATAAGGCCAGAATACATTTCCGGGCACAGTGCAGCAGAATGTGCAAAAGGTCTCTGTTGCAAAAATCAGCAGGTAATTCATCATCTAGTCCCAACAGGCAAGTCCTTGCGCTCAGATGTAGATGACACTTGAAAATGACATTAAACTGTTGAACAATTATAATCCAAAACTGCTGGACATGAGTACAGCTCCACAAACAATGAATAAATGATCCGACAGCTGATTGACATTTAGTACAAAGTTCTGACAGAGTTGGATTCATTCTGTGTCTGGCTTCAGGGGTGATATACAGCCTATGCAAAATCTTGAATTGCCTCTCCCAGGCGGAGTTAGACACCAGGACCTTGGAGGGCTGGCTGCACAGGGCACCCCAGTCCCCAGGCTCAATTGTACCCAAGTCAGATTCCCATCTGCCTTTTACTTTAGCAGAATTATCCACATTGAGACTACAGAGATTCTTATAAAGCGTCTTAGTGAAAGATTTAAGTTGCGTATTATTTACCAGTAGAGATTCTATAAGAGAAATGGCTAGTCCCCCAGAGAAATCTTTCAAATTGCACAAAATAAAGTTTCAAACTTGTACAAATTTAATGAAATCCTTATTGGTGACCCCATATTTGCTTTTCACTTGTTGAAATGTAAGGATTGAGCCTCCCTGAACCATGTCCCCAACAACTTTAATACCCTTGTGCTTCCAGTCAGCCAGGTCAGCCTGAAGGCCAGGTTGAAAGTCAGGGTTCTCATGAATAGGAGTTAACAAAGAGAAGCGGTTACTGTACCCTTCCAATTTCCTGACTTTACGCCAAATGTTTAGCATATTCTTTAAAAGCACATTGTCTTTTATTAGTGTTGCAACTCTGCCAGGAGAGATATATAACAAATTCTGCAAGGGGATCCTACCTAAAGAAGCAGATTCGCAACTGAGCCAGACAGAATCAGGGTCCCCTATGAACCATTCCAAAAGAAACTTGAACTGCGCAGCCCACAGGTAAAATGAAAATGAAGGTGCTGCTAAGCCACCCTTTTTAACAGGTAGACAGAGAAAACTGTATCTTAACCTAGGTCTCTTGTTACGCCAGATAAATGATATAATAGCGCTATTTAATTTTGTAAAAACTTTCTTTGACAATATAAGTGGCAACATCTGAAAGAAATGTAGGAGACGTGGAAGGATGGCAATGTTCACCTCTTGACCAGTTACATCTCTGTTCCTCTAGCACATGTTGTTTCCACTTTTCGTCCAGTTCATTTGTGGGGTTTTATTTTTTACATGACTTCTTAAAACGTCCACTGTGAAACACAGTGAAAAGCACATTGACTGGTTGTTTGTTTGGTTGATTTTAAGCTATCGATGCTGCGTGATGTCTGTAATTTATTCGTTGCATTAGTGGACTTAAATGGCTGGATAAACGCCATCCACACTGGTGTCATAGGGCACCGTATACACGTGTAGCGAATACTGACCCCCCAGTGCTGCTCTCCACAGCTGGATTCTGGACAGCACTGGGTGGGAAGTCGTCTTATCAGACCAGTAGGGCTCTGCAGAGGATTGTGAGAGCCCCTCGACTGTTCGGCTGCTCCAACAAGACAGGCCGACTCATTGTAAGTATGGAAGGACATTGAGGGGACAGAACAAATGTCTCTGACTTACCTTACCATTTACCATTTACTTACCATTCTGTTCAGGCATATTTGAACTTCTTCCGGATCTAGAGTCCACAATATGTTCCGGATCACTTCCAAAATTTAATCAACTCATCCTTGGACTTCCACCTAATTTTGTGTCAAACCGTTCATAACTTTTCGAGTTATCCTGTTAACAGACTCTACGCAGGTCACTCTTGCTCATTTGAATGCTTATAAGCAGTATGTGTCTGATTGGAAGGGTTCTAACCAGCAGTGGTTTGTTTGGTAAGCTGGTGCCCAAACAGCAAGTGTGTTAGTCACCGAAGCGACTAAAATTATTGAAGCCGGGGTAAAAAAAAAAAAAAAAAAAACTCTGGCAACGTGCTAAACAGCAATAAACAGCCACAACAATAGAAATGTGGCCACTAATCAAAGCTCTTCCACAGGGACA